AAAGTTCTGACAAACAACACATAACTGCATGCTAAATGGTTAACACCCTTCCCTGATGGTTTGGCAATCCTATACTTATAGTTCTATCATACTGAAATTATAGGTTCTTGTGAAAGGATACTAACAATAATAATATATTTTATAGCATTGTTCGTTCAAGGACCTCAAACAAGTTTCAACATTTATGTATTGAATATTATGACACTAAGTCCTACTTCCTCCCATAAAACGTAACAGAAAACTGGAAAGCCATGGTTTCCCTTGTGTATCAGTAGGCTCTGAGGAATATTTTGATTGCCACATCAAATATAAAATATTGATGAAGCAGTTAGGAAAAATAGATTCCACTGCTCTCTTTAGGAAGGAATTGAATATTAAAACAATACCACATGCTATGTGTTGTAAGCATATAAAAAAATTCATCAGAATACACTACAAAACTAAAGAGGAATTTTTTAAAACAAAAAATATGCTAAAAGAAACTTAATTATAAAATATTATATGTACAGATATACATATATATAATTTTAGTCTTATCATGTAGAGGAGATATCATCAGAGCTCTGAGAGATAAAACAACCAAAATTGACATGAAATTAACACATATTCTAAGTGTGAGCTGTGCAAAGACAAAACATAGCAAAAAAAAGCCGGAGAGAAAGGAATACTGACAGACTGGTGCAGTCAACATTTTGGGGGGTTTTCAAAACACAGGGCTCCTACCCCAGAGGCAGGGACCTCCAGTTTCTACAGGAGATAATGCTGAAGAGACCTGGGCTGTTTTCACTGATGGCATTTGCCTGTAGACTGACTAAATGGATGTAAGTAGTGCATCACAATATGAATTCTTCATCTCATACTGGTCTTTGTTTTATGCATTTATTTCTTCTCCTTTGGAAAGCCCAAACCTTGCCTGAGAGATAAACTTGAGATAATCCATGTGTATTGATAAGAACCAGACTAAGACACTTGTTTAAGTAGACTGGTTTCCTGTGACAATATTTTTATGAACATCCCCAACAAATTGCAATAATATTTATGGCTCAGCCATAATTTTTAGCTTTCCTCATGCTAAACATGGAATAAAATGTCACTATAAGAAAATTGTGATGGATTCTTTAATGATATACCTCAAATTATATAATAACAAGTTTGGTCCTCTTCAAAATTATTCTGTTAATGAATCTTTTATTACATTCTTATATAAATTATGCATCAATTATTCAAAGCACTTACATTTTTCTTTAATAGGAATTGTCTTTAAAGTTCATAATGCATTTTTTGAAGGACAATACCTAAATTTAGGTAGCACTTTGCTGTTGAAGTAAAATATGATGAAAATTTTTATTTTGATAGATAGTCAAAAGTAATTTAGAAGGAAGTCTAAGTGATCAGTCTGTGTAATGTGATTCTTATTCTAATACAAACTATAACTATAAGATAATGAGTACAAAGAATTGAGGTTGATGCCTACTTGGGAAAAGAAATGTATATATTTTTAGAGATAAGACCATAATAGGATATCCAATTTTGTTTGTTTGGTTGTTTGTTTACAGTACTAGAGATTGAACTCGGGGCATTTCACAACTGAACTATATCCCTAGCTCTTTTATTTCAAGACAAGATCTCCCTAAGTTGCCCAGAATGGTCTTGAACTTCTAATCCTCCTGCCTCAGCCTCCCAAGGAGCTGGTATTATAGGCATGGACCACCATGCCTGGTCCAAATATTTTGATCAAAGGTAGAATCCTTAGAATAGGAGTGTGGTTTTCATTGAAAGATATTTTGAGCCACTATTTCTATTCTAGTGGCTCAAAATATCATAAATTTTAGTGTATATGTTTAAAATTTTCTCATTACTTTGTTTCTAGTAATTACAAAACTGTCTTAAATGATCTTACTATTAACCTGAGACTTACAATATACAACTTTTTGTAAATGTCCACCCTAAATCCTAATATATTTCACTCTTTTGTCTGACTTGAGATTTATCTGTAGAGCTTATGGGAAGACCCTGTACTGTCTTTTAAGAGGCACATAGCATTTAATATTTGGTTTCTGTGGGGCTTCCCTGGTTCTTTGAGTATAGATTAAGACTTTTGGAATGAACATCATGATGAAAATTCAATTTATATTATCCAACACATGATTTAATAAATAATCTAACAACTAAACAGAATGTGGAAAATTAAAGCATTAGGGGAAAGACAGAAAAGTATACTGAATATATTAAAAATTATGAGAAAGTGTAAAATTGAAATATTGCCCAAAATAAAAAAGTATAGCCACTACTGGTAAACATTTGTAAATCAATCTCATTTGTATGTGAATTATTCAAGTTTAGCACCTCTAGTTTAAAAATGTCTTATTTCAGTCAGGTGTGGTGGCACATGTCTATAATTTCATCACTCTAGGAGGATGAGGCAGGAGGATCACAAGTTTGTGTCTGGCCTGGCCAACTTACAGAGAACTTGTCTTAAAATTAAATTAAAAAAGGGCTGAGAGTGTAGCTCAGTGTGGAGGACCTGGGTTCAATTCATAGTACAAAAAATGTTATTTCATAAATGTTTTCATGAGAGCTTCAACTTAGTGTACTTATTTTCCATGACATTCATAAATAACTTGAAGTTTTATGATGAAATCCATTTATATTATTCATTAAGATAGTTCCAATGTATTTCAAATTTTTACTTGATGAAAAACCTTTGCAAAATTAAGAAAGTACTTAGATATTTTCCCAAACTTTTTGATTTTCCAACAGCAAAACCTAGATAATTCAAGTGATACTTAATATATTCTATAACCCATCTGGGTTATAACAGTTTTAAACTTCTATGACTATAAAATTGAGATCATATTCAGAAAGTAAAGTTCTAAAGCATTTAAGAAGATATGACATGAGCGTATGACTTTCTGCCCAAGTATCTGATAAGGCCATGTTAATGGAGATTTGCTATAAATTCTCAAGCAGGCCTATTCATTGTATATACAGATGAATAATCACAAAATTATACTCAACAGAGGAATTGATCAGCTTATATAAACAAGGCCCAAAGTAACATAAAGAATGTATAAAGGTGTCAATTAAGGATAATAATTATAATAGCAGCTAACATTTACTTGGGCTAAACACTGGATATACATTTTCTCAACAGATTAACCCTTTGTCATAGTTACTTATTAGTCTCAAAGTTTTAAAGGCCAAGTCACACAGAGATGTGAAGAGGCTCACCTCAAGTCACACAGCTACTAAGTAGTAGATCTCAAATTTGAGTCAAAACAATACGAACCCAAAGCCTACCATTTTTGACCACTAAGTAATATTACCTAGCCCAATGCAGAAAATAAGTTTTTACCAGTTTAGAATTATAGTCCAGAAGAAAGTTTATAATCACCAGTACTTTAGGTGATTGTCAGTTCCTATAAATAGTAGGAATTTAACTTTTAAAAACACACTTAGAAAGTAGTTTGAAGAACAGAAATGAGTATGATCTTAAAAATTTAATAGCTATTAAAATTACATTTTCTTCTCAAATCAAACTATGAACATTTTTTAAAATATAGTAGGTGATCTTTAAAAAGAAAATTTAAAAAGCATATTGGCAGATGAGCAATTTTGAAGTTCCTTAGTACTTAGAAGTAACCATGAGATATTCATTCTTCTGAAAACTGCATTTTTAGATGGATTGGCATTTAGGTTCCTCAAAGCGTTCTAACAAAAAGTCTGTAATTTATGCGAATTAACATTCTTATTTTATAAGTAGTAGGAAAACAGATGAACAGATAAGTCATTTTTATAGATTAACAAAAGATTCTATAAATATTAATATAAAGACGATTCCAAAAAGTCCTTCTCTCCCATCCACAGGGAGGAGCTATCCTTCAGTGGCCAAGGGCTTCTCTTTAGCACCTGAATTCCAGGGTTGCTCTACATGCACAGAATTGAACATCAGAGAGATGAGAAAGATGAATCCCTTCCCCAAACACATGCATATATGGGCACATTTATAATACATTTGACTTTTCTGATACTTTCCTATGCTGATTCATTGGAGGAATACGAGTCAAGTAACGTCCCATGAGAGAACTGTGCCTATTCATTCATTCACACAAATATAATAGTAGGAACCAAGTAGATACAGCCTGCAAAGAACACTTCAGAGATGAATGCTATGTTTAATCACACTCTGCCTAAGACCTCAAACTTAACCTCTATTTTTAAAAACCTCATTAAATGAAGTTTGCTAGCTTTTATGGCTCATCATATGCAAAATAAGATAAGAATACAATTTATTAAATGTTATTTGTATAGAACTTCAGTACCTGTACCCATAGCTTCACGTTTCCATGATAATGTTGACTTCCATTTTTAAAGCAAACCTCATAATATTCACGCTTTTCTAAGTTAAATGATTCAACAGATTTGTTTTCCTTCTTAAGAGAAATAATGGAATTGTGGCAAATACTTGTTAGATTTACTCAGGATCATAATAAAAACTTTAAGCACATAATTTTCCACCTCCTCTCCTGCAAATTTTTTTCAAAATTCAGTCAATAAATGTTTTCTGAGCACCTGCTATATGCAGGCACTTGACTTGTAGTAGTATGCCAAGAAGACAAGTTTGTAAGTCACGGGACCAGAGAGAGGACCAAACTTATGAATTTGTTATTAACAACTTTACAATGTCTAAGTTTCTCAGAAAAAAATCAAAGAAATCAATTGCACGGTAGCATACATATTTGGGTCTTGCGTCAACTTACTCTCGGTTGCAAATAGATTTTGCTCTCTCTCCAAATCATTGGCTTCAGTTTATTCTTTAATCTTAATGCAATTTTATTTCACAAAACCCACATTTTCTTTCAAAATAATGAATGACAGTGCATCTTTAAAAAACAGAACAGAAGAAACCCTACTTCTCTTTCCCCCAAACTTTGCCCATATCTATTCCCTCCTCTTTTACGGGCACGTGTCCTTCCAAAGATCCACTGGACACCTCTCACCTGAAAAAAAGTTTGGAGACGACGCTGGCCTTTTCTAGAGGCGACTTCTGCATGGTCTCTCGGGTCCCTGCAGGGCAGTCTGGGCTCCCGCTCCTGATGCCAAACGCCCTACTCCTCCCGCGCCTGCCGCTCACCCCTTTTTCTCTGACCTGCTGTGATGTCATTTGCTTCCAACTCCCGCCACCCACCCCCATCCCATACGCCTCCCCTTTCCTCTGGCTCCTTCCCCGCCTCCACTGCCCAGGTTAGAAGCCAGGCGCTACTGCTGCTGAGCCCGGCCCCAAATTTGCTCCCGCGACTTTCCCCACGCCCTCGCGCCCCCGCCTCACCCTGGGCGCTCCTTCCTCCTTCCTCCCTTTCCCGACTCGGCCTCCCCGCCTCGCTCTGTCTCGCGCTCAGGCCCGGCCCGCGTCCCTCCCTCCCTCCCTCCCTCCCTCCGTCTGGCCCGGCCCGCAGCCCGCAGCCAGCAGGTGGGGCCGGGTCCAGCCCGCGACCCCAGGGAGGAGCCCGCGGCGGGGCCGCACCACCCGCACCCGGGTCCCTGGGACCCAGCCTCCGCTCCCGGAGCCTTTCTTGTCGTCCTCCTCCTCCTCCCCCTGCTTTTTCCCGAGATCCCAGCTGGATTCGTGTTCCTTGCAAGGTGCATTAAAAAAAAGAAAGAAAGAAAGAAAAGGAAAGGAAACGAAATTATGCTTCTCTTGTATCAAAATACAGCCTTAAAAACAGAAAGTTCCGAGCCCGCGTCTCCTGGGTTCTCAGCGCTTCCTTTGCGTGTCAGAGGGAAGAACAAACTGTGTTAATTTCAGCCTTAGGTGAGAACGGAGTGTGGCACAGAAACCTTTGGAAACGTTAAAAAAAAAAAAAAACCAGTACCGCCAAAAAAAAAAAAAAAAATCCCACAAGGAGGTAAGAGGAGAGAGCTTTGTCACTTACCCGCCCAAGATCTGTTCGTTTTAAGTATTTCAGGCCGGCTTGTGTTATTTTAGGAGGCTTTTGTGTGTCTTAGAGACAGTGACAAGTGGACAGTGTGTAAACTAACCCGCCCTCCTATAGATTTCTTGGTCTTGAGCAGCAAAACGTCTTGACTAATACACGGACGAGAATCCCGACAGTCTGCAAAGCGAAGGTAGCGCGTTCACTTTGACCTGACTCAAGGCTGTCCTCGGCTCTGCAGGGCACTTAGCCTTTCCCAGGCGGGCGAGGGGCCTTGGCTTCCAGGTTTTGGGAGTAAGGATTGTGTGCCAGGCTGCTGGGTTTTAAAGAGCCAGGCCTTTAATTCCTGAACCCTATTGTGTAAAAGCAAGTAAGTGTATACTGAGTTTGAATTGAAAATTTCAAACAAAAGTAAAAAATTGGCCCTGACTATTGCCTCAACATCTCAAAGCAAGGTTGTTTACTCGCGCCTTACCTTATTGTTGACTTGTGGTCGCCCAAATACAATACACATGAAGCATGTATTTCATAATGGTACAAGACAGGAACAAGCATTTTAATTAAGGAATGTGTTCAGCAGGTTTTCATAGCTCTGCTTTGCACTTTAATGTCTCCTTTTTCCCCTCATCCTAAAGTGAGTTTTAGAATCCTTTACATTTTACTATCCCAAATTGAATAGTAGAAAAAGAACAAAGAGGTAAACCAAATTGCATAAACTTAGGCACCAGGAAAAATTCCCACGTTTCTAACTCATGATTCATTGCTTCAAATCCTGTACAGAGGCTTCTCTCTCCAGAGTTACAAAAATTGAGGCTCTATCTTCACTATTGACTTTTCCCAGGTATGTGATTGAACTCATTCCATCCATTCCCCACCTCCACATTGTTGTTTGCTTTATAACTGCTAGTGTGACCCATCAAATATAATACACACATTTTGAAATAAATTGGTAATCAGTTCCTCTTTGTTAGTGAGAAGTATGTGACGATAAAAGGATTAAGAATTAAGTTCCTGGGCTGGAGGTGTAGCTCTGTGGTAGAACACTTGACAAGCATACTGGAGGCCCTGGGTTGGATGACCCCCAGCACCACCAAATTAAAAAAACAGGTTAAGTTCCAAAGACATGGAAGCTGACAAAGGTACATGACACCAGGAGACCCCAAACACTGGTCAATCAGCTTCCCTCCTGTGAAAAGAATAAATGGAATAGTGACAAGTTCTTAATATTTGGTAGGCCTCCTTCATATAAATCTTATGACAGCCATGTAAGTGTGCATTATTTTTTTAAGTATGCATTATTATACCTAGTTTTCACTTGAGGAAACAAGAGAAGTTAAGTGAAGGCTTGTAATGGCAAAGCTAAGATACACAATCAGATCTGATTCCAAACCATCATTCCTATCTTCATGTGATATTATTTCTAATAAAACCAACCTTTATGTATTTATATACCATCATCTACATCAACCTGGTTTTTTTCATCACATTAATTTCATGAAATAAAAATTTCTAGACCTATTTGACCATAAGACCAGCAAGTAGAAATCAACAATAGCCCTGGAGTATATATATCTTAATAAACAATATATAATATTATTCTATTTTAAGCATATACACACATTTATAGGAAGACTAGTTTTGCGGGGGAGAGGGACTGAGACAGAGACTTGCTATGTAATTCAGACTGGCCTTGAACTCACAATGTAGCACAGGCTGGCCTGGAACTTTAGTACTGGGAGTACAAGTATGCACCACAATGCCTAGCAAAAGACCCTGAAAGTTTTATCATAAAATATCACAGTCTTAAGTTTTTTGTCAGAAGACTTCACAATTCAGAACTTTAACATTGTTAGCAGACATATCTAAATGAAGTAATTAAGAAAGACATTCAGTATTTGCATGTAAGTATGTTCCTAATGTGGGAATGCAAACGTGTACACAAGAAAATTATTCAAATATGGCTGAAGGTCATAACTAAAAGACTATATGTAAGGGCCAGGGATTTAGCTCAGTGGCACCGCACCCGCCTCCCAAGCATAAGGTCTTGAGTTCAATCCCTGGTGCCACAAAAAAAATGTAAAAAGACTATATATGGATCTCAAAGGGAATCAATAGGTGAGGGTAGAAGGTGATAGAAAAGGTGAAGCTTATTTCTCTAGGAAGCTCAAATGCTGGCTCATATTTTATAATAGCTTATATTTGTTGGACATTTACCATACATACTGGGTAGAATGACAAATGCACAGCATGATTTGCCTTTTTCAATCCTTAAAGCACCTTCATGGAAAACACCATCTTCATTATCCATACACTACAGAAGGAGGATCTGAGACACAAAAAGCTGATTAACTTTCCCAAGAAAATTGCAGAGTTGACAATAACAGAGGAAACCAGGGCTTGGACCTAAACAGTTTGATCACTGAGCCCAAGCATTTAATAACTACACATTCTTATTCTATAGAACTTCCTAATGTTTTAGGCAGAACTGACCTTAGTTACAGGAGAGTGAATGGCCATTTGTGTGACATTATTTTAAAGATATATTAAAAAGAAGTAAGAGAGGAACAGAAGGGGGGAAAAGGTAAAAAAGGAAGAGGAGAGGGGCTGGGGATTTAGCTCAGTGGTTCCGGTGTCTGTCTCACAAGCGCAAGGTCCCGAGTTCGATCCCTGGTACCAAAAAAAAAGGAAGAGGAGACCAAAGAAGGGAGGACAAGAAAGACGAGCAGGAGGAAATTGAGGAAGGAAGAAAAAAAAGAAAGAGGAAGAGAAGGTGGAAGAAAAGGAGGACAAAAGGAGGCCAACGTTTATTTAGTACCTACTATGTGCTCAGCAACGTGCCAGATGCTTCCTACGGGTAATCTCAACATATGAAAGATAAAAGACCTTCCTGTCGTGCTTCACTAGCCCTGCCATCAGATGAATACTTACCCATCATGTCCAACTTAATTCAAGTGTTTTCCTCAGATTCTCTCCTGAGTTAGCTTTACTAGTGTTGAGTAGGTCACAATCATGAGTGCTCTAAACAGGAAAAGGAAAAGGAGGATGAAAAACTCACCTCAGATGGAAGAAAACCAGCGAATGAAAGGCCTGATCAGCTTCCACATGCCTAGCCTGGTTGTGCTTATAAATTTATCTAAACTAAAAGCATAGGAGCAGCCATGTCTCTTCCACAGCATGCCACAGTGACAACCCAGGATGCAACCACATCACAGTAGTGTAAGTGTTGCGCCATTTTGGGACGGGAAAGAAGCATTCTCATAGCTGAGTAGGCAAGTTTATCATCGACTTTGAACTGCTTCTAACATTATGTTTGGACTGATAATTCTGCTTATAAACATATGTGCACATATACTTCTATTTATGTGCATATATAACTCTCCTTCCCCATAACCTTCTTGCAGGCAGAAATACTGTCTTCAACCTTCCCTTTGACTCACTCTTTATTTAGTAACACAGTACATATAATCAAGCAACCATTTACTCTTGGGGTTACTGACCTAATCGTTGACATGTCATCCTGAAGGGGGAATCTGAAGAAGTTCAAGTGATGAATAGTTGCTATTAATCTTTTGGCAAGTGAGAGCTTGGTGCTAGGGCAGATCTATAGAATAATGTAGTATTCCTACCATTAAAACTCACAAACTGCTCATGTTCCATAAAGTTCTCTGGAGATAGTAGTAAAAGATACGGAAAGAGTTTGGGCTTTAAGACAATAAAGAGCTAGTTTCTCAATCCTGGCACCACCACTTATTTAAGTCTGTGATCTTAGATAAGTAACTCAATCATTCTGGGAGTCTGTTACCCTTTTCTGAAGATGATGTTAATAATAACCACTAAACAGGATTGTTGAATGGATTTAACTCCCTACCCTGATACTGTTGACTTTGGGGAATCAATAATTCTTTGAAGGAGAGAAAGTCTGTCCTGTGCATTGTAGGCTGTTCAGCACCATCTCTATCTTCTACCCATTGGATGCTGGTAGTATGACCCCCTCCCCCAACTTAGGACACTCAACACTGACCCTAGAGATTGCCCAGAATTTGGAGGGTGGGACTAAGAATTGCTCCTAGTTGAGAACTATTAGATGAAATAAATTAAATGTGACACATATGACAGACATAAAGGGTTTGGAACCTAATAAATAGTCAATGAATGTTAGAAATTATCGTTACATCATTGGTCATAAGGCAGAAATCAGTATAGCATTGCAAATTAAATGCAACAGG